ATGGGAGTACCACAGTGCATCATGGGAGTACCAAAATGCACCATGTAGTACCACAATTCACCATGGGAGTAGCACACACAATTTTATTCCCTCAATTATTTCACGTATTCAATCATTCACACATTGCAGTGAGTACTTCTTTGTTATCAGTGAGTTAAGGAGTAAATACATTCGCCAATCAAAATTCAAACTTTGTAATAGATGTCTTTTATTTTACTTTTGTTTTGTTGTTCAAACATCATCTCAATTTTTCACTGGTTTTTAATTTTACTATCTTTCACTGAAAAGAAAAATTTGTCATATTAAATTCATGTATACAATTAAAATAGCTTTATCTAACTAGAATATCTTTGACTTTAAAACACTGTGACTATGATCAAAAATCATGAAATCAAATACCACTGTAAATTAATGTCCTTATAGTATTTTCCTCAGATGAATGAAGTATCACTTACATGGTGTCATATGGATCTGGATTTCCCATTGTTTGCTCACCATAACCATCATAGCCCCATACCATATTAACATCACTCAGCGGGGTATAGTCCAGGATGGCATCATCGCATCCATAAGGATCAAACTCTTTTAACCTGGAGAATAAAACTGATGCTGCCACATTCTTAGAGCCATATGAAAGGACTCTATGCCAATAACCTAAATTTAAATTGGAAAAAAACGCAATCAACTTTACCACAATTTCTTTCACAAAACAATAAGCAAACATTGAAATATATTTTGAAAAATGGAAAAAATTTAAATTATATTAAAATTATAAAAAAGGTTGAAATATCATACAGAGTTACATCTTAATGTACTCAAGGAATCTAACATGCATATGACGGAAAAAGAAGTGATGTTATGAAATTTTAATAAATTAATTTTAATTAATTAATTGAATTCATTAATAACTTGGATTCGTTAACAGCTTGTCAATTGCGGTAGAAACTCACCATATGGAAGGAAAAGACAATCGCCAGCTGTATGATTGGCATATTGCCATGGCACCTTCGCAAAATCAGGATATTTAAGTAGATTCACTTTATCGGGATCGAGTAGAGCAAATCCTCCACCCGCAGATGCGCTTCCATAGCAATCGGAATGTTATGTTCTGTTTCGGGTCAATCAGTATCCAATCCTTGGTTCCATTCAATAGGCAATTAAATGCGTTATCCGCGTCTCTGTGCAATAAACTTTTAGTACCGCCTGAACTGATCCACAGGTTGGCTTCTAATATACGGTCCTTGAAACTACCGCACATCACACAGGGTAGTACCATTACTTCGTGTGACATCGCATCTGGTAGCTGACTCACTATGTACGCATCCCGCTCTCGGTAAGTTTCAAGGAAAGTCTTTATAGTGTCTTGTCCTAAACCTTTCTCGCCGACAGGAACTACATCTTTTTCAATTTTCCCTTCTAATTTCACTTTCATGTCGCCGTAGTGCTCTGTCAGGTACTCATCTGTCCAAAGACTGAATGCCGGGAACGTTTTGGCAGCGCCCTTGAATAATACTGGTTTTCTGATACTAGCGTATCGATTCCAGAACTCCTGCGGTGATATCATATCTGTCGCATGTATAATATCAATATGGCCATCAGAGTCACGGTGACTGCCCAAGGGTTCTCGGTGACCGCGAGGAAATTGCAAATCACAATTGATTCGATGCGGGGAAAGCAACACAAAATACGCCGTCAATAGCACGGCCAACGGTTCTGGCAGTTTTACGTACATTCTTACTCAATACAACTCAATACAAAATGTCTACCTGTTTCAGACCGACCAACACGGTATTACTGTTTTCAAGCTGTCATAAATATTCACCCAGATAAACAAAACAACACGATGATTATAGTATATTACGTTAGTTTCTGACGAACCCCCGCTTGCTCAGGTTACTTCCGCGTTAAAGTTTCCCTAAGTGGTGCACCATGGGAAAGGCTCCTTATCTCCTCCAAGAAATGTCACTTTCCATCCACTTCTGAATCTGGAAGCCGTGATCTGTGTGTACGTGCTATTTTCTTCGTGAATTAATTTCTGGATACGCAAAATCTTGACTTATCTCATTCTGTTCTAAAATAGACGGATGGATTACAGAATATTTTAGAAACCACGCCCACTTTTGCGAAACAGCGCTCAAATTGTAACTCGCACTGATTACCGCCGGTAACTTCTTCCATACCTTCTAATCACATGAAAATTACCTAATTAAAGCTTGGAAACGTGTATGTGCGTACTCGTTGATCTGCGCAACAGTCAAAGTCGCCATTTTTGTTTATATGAGACCCATATATCTCGCACATGCGCAGCGCGACGACTACCGCGCTTTAACCGACCTTCGAGTTACTAGCAACATAGATTTGTTTGAATCACTGGTTATTTTTGTCATCGCGTCGTGTTACGATATGTATCGATATCGTGAGGCTATAGAACATTCAGACTTAAAGGGCGGTAGTCGTTAAAATTATGAATAATTAATTGTTTGTGTGTTAAGTATTATTAAATTCCATGACATGCATGTGTTTATTCATTAATTGGCACCACACAGGTAAATTATAGTTTCAAATTATAAGCCGGTAGTTCACAGAGGCAGTCTTAAACCCTTGCATACAAGAATTCCTGTTATCCTACTATGTGAGTGGCGTGACTATCGCTTTTTGTCCTATCTAACTAAAGTATGTTTTTATTTTATTTTATCATAGACCGAGAAATATGAAGACAATAACTTTACTTGTATTATTTGCATGTATCAACTTTATCTCTACGGAGTCTGAGGATGGTTTTCTTAAAGGGCACCTAAAGCCACTCGGAGGTCATCGGCCACCAGACGTGCCCATTGACGAAACTGACATACCGCCGCATCCTCGTACATTCTGGGAGAAGTATGTTAAACATGGTAAACCGTTAATTTTGAGGGGAGCTATGAAACACAGCCCAGGTTTTAACCTATGGACTACGCAGTATTTGAAAGAAAAGTATGGTGATTTGGAAGTTCGTTTGGAAGGAAAAATAGAGAAAGCCTCAAACATTCCGATTGGTGCTAAAAGTTTTGGAAGAGACACTATTGCTAATTTTATTAACACGTACCAGAGTGAAAACAAATATATCGTATCTCAGTTGCCAACAGCCATGTACCCAGAAGTCATGGTTCCTCCCACAATGCAGTGCGGCACGTTTAAGGACAGTTTGGTGGAAATTGATATTTGGATGAGTTCGGGAAACAGTAAAAGTGCTTTACATAAAGATGCATTCAACACATGGAATTGTCTGGTTAGTGGAACTAAACAATGGAAAATGGTGGAAAACAAATATGAGCCGTTAATTTATCGATCATGGGAACCAGAAGCCCAGATTGGTGGCTTTTCGTTAATCAATGTGTCCAGTGTAGATATGATAAAACATCCAAATATTGCCAAAGTTAGGTGGTCTAACTTTACTATAACTGCTGGAGATTGTTTATATTTACCAAGAAGTAAGTGTTACATTTGTAGTATTAGGGGTCAACCATTAGAAACACATTATTATTTTTATTTCTTTTTTTCAAATTCCACTATTTTCTCCAATAATGTATAATAGTGAACCTTTAAGTTTGGTTGAACTCACAGACGCAACAGCGCCACGGGATGCAGCAAATAAAAAGATTAATCA